TCACGTTCTCTGCGGAGGGGATCTGCTGTAGCAACGAATCTGCAGCCATTTGGACGTGGTCGAATAGTCGGTCTGTTTTGGCATTACCGCTATGGGACCTATAGAGGCACCCGTAGACGCGCGGATGGTCATCGCTGTCTACGCGTAGCCAAAGGATGGACAGGTCCGAACCTTCAAGTCTGCCGAGGCGTCGAGAGCAGATGTCCTCTCTGACGTAAACGCAAACTCCAGCCCGAGGCACAAAGGAGTGTTCCAGTTTGTACCCCGGGTAGGAGAGATACGAGACATCAGCCGGAGAGGACACCTGCGTCTCGGTCAGAAAGAGCAGAGCCGGCCTCGCCGTCTCGAGATGGTAGTGGACGGCGTTTAGGTTAGAGTGAAGTCCCCTGATATTGCAGAAATTCACGGACAGCGTGGCAGGGGTCGCCTTGGTCTTGTTGCTCCGTTTACCCCGAGCAGTTGTAGTCTTGAGCGGAATTTTGCCCCCCCCCCCCCCAGAATACGCGGGGCAGCCTGAGCACCCATGCTCAGAAGTGGAGAAACATGGTCGTGGATGCTCAGCGAGGGATTCTCCAGGGGTGCTGGTACCCTCCTGCGGTAGTCGATCATTATTTAATTCCGCTACCATGTTGATGGGGGGGGGGGGGATTTGGGCCTCCGGCCACCTGCACTCACCAGACGAAACGCGGAAACAGAGCTTCCACTTCACGCCGGTATTCTGTGAAGTCGTGGTACCACCCCGGTTTGAGCCGGCCCATACGTGCAACAGCAAAGCTGCCGCGTGGCTCTACCACTGTTAAAGTTAAGTTATTTAGTAGACAGATTCAGCTTTAGTTAAAATCAATATTAACTATGTGTCACACATCGTCATTCAAGTATAAGAGATCATCAACGATTATATCTAAACTGCCCTGATACGGAAGAAGGCGGCTAAGCCACAAAAGTATGTTTCGAAAAAATTGAAAAAAAGCGCGAAGTTAGTTTTCTTGATAGATATGACCGAAAAAAACATTTCGACTATTGGAATCCATGTAAAAAAAAATTACGAATCTTTTATAAATATGTTTGAATGAAATTATTGGCATACTGTTCTTTAAACTCTAAAAATGTAGTTAACGTAAGTATTGAAACATTGTATTTGAATATTAATTACAACATAAAAGGCCGTTAAGTATACCTTAACTGTTTTTTAGTATAGCATTGACAATAATCATACGCAAAAATGTGGCTAACCTACTTTAACTTTCTTTTAATTTTTGACGCTTTGTTTAAATTATACACTTGGACTACACTTTATTGCTGTTAAGTGATATAACTGCCTTATAGTATAGTTTATCAGCAAATAATCAAATTAAGTAGAAGTGAAACTAAACTAAAAGGTAGTTAAATGTACATTAATCTCACGGAACCGCTTTTTTGATTAGCATTAGCATAGGTATATTTTTGTTAATTAAGTTTGAAAAGTTGCTAAGTGTAAAATAAAATGTGCTTTAGTAAGAATATCAAAACTTTATTCATGCTTAGCACAAACAATTATAAGGAAAAACAAGGGATAGTTTTTTATTCTTAAAGAACCTGTTTTTTTATTTTTGAATGTGATTTCTGCTCTACTAAACCGTTTGCAATTATAATTCTAGATCTTCTGCTAAATCCGATCTGACGAATCTGATTTATTTACTGATTTTTTATCATGAAAATTGGTAGGTGGCACGAAGTATGATACCGACTGATTATCGTCTTCTTCGGAATCAGAACTGTTTTGCGACATCTCCACTGACGGTATATAGTCCATTCTTTTACAGAATCATCAGAGTCAAAATCTTCACTTTATTCTTAATAATGGCGCTCTTCTACTGATGCTGGAATTTGGAGCTATTCGGCGGCATGTTTACTGAATTCAAAGCTTCACCGGAGTTAAAATCTTTATCGGCTAATTTAATGTAACGATGCTCTTTGACATATTTGGAGTTATTCTGGGACATGTTCATCAGTGGCACACAGTTTTTATCTATTAGCGATCAATTCTTAAAAAAATTAAATTAATTTATTTCAGACTTTTGGTCCATAAAATTGTTAGTACAAAATATGAGTTTACAAATTATGTCTTTAAAACAAAATAAAAACAACACTAAAACATTAATTTAAATATTTTCCGGTCTAGTTTGTGGCACTTGGTACATACGCATGAGTGTATATCCAGTGTCTCCATGTATGTATACCCAGTGTCCTTGACTGGACAGTCTGATTTACCACTAATAACCTTCAGAATAGTATCGAAGCTCCCCTCGCACTCTGCACATAAGAGACGTGATACGTTGGCGTAGTACTACATCCCTGATGCACTGCAAAATCACAGCAGTCCCGACATCACTCGAAAGGCTATATTGAACTATACAATTAAATATAACATAATCATTACAATTATATACAACGCTTATAGATGGTACCATTTCTTCATAACAAAAAATATACCAAGTGTTTTATTCCTTTTCAGTTAGGTGAATTCATTGTGTATCTTTATTTTAGTGTTGTGAGATATCAAGTTTGAATATCCCGCTTAACTTTTGGAGTTGATAAAATTTTGTAAATTGATTCAGAATCACTTATGAGATTCATGGAGTATGCTCAAGACCAAAGTGAATCAATTATTAAAGAACGGAGAGCCAATCGTGTTCAATGTGCCCACTGATTAAATGTAATTTACAGTCTTCTGCTGTCGCTTCTCTCGCCACGCTCACTAACTTTCTACCTTTGGTCAGAATCAAGGCATTATTCAAGGTGTAAAATAAAAATATATATATAAATACTCAAGTAATGTAAGAAGGGAGAACTAAGCTCCCATACGTTCGGAAACGATTTAGTATTAAATTAGGAAAACAATTAGTTTATGAATTTGGTGTAATGGTAATCCAAATCCATGTATGCACAATGAAAACTATTGTCAGACTTCAAAATTGAATTGAACACTCCTTGACCGTAGCGTATTTTAAAATTATTTTGTTATGAATGTAACTCTCTTTTTACATATTAGAGAGGAGGAGATTTGAATAAAATGTGCTATTATTGATTACTTTTTTAAGTAAAGTTTTTTAAGTGGCAATTTCATTGGAGATGCCAGTTTCAAAAAAATATTCATATAAATTCATGAACTTAAATTTAAAATGAGTGGAAAATATAATTGTAAAAATAATTATATAATGATTTCTCATATTTACGCGAACATTACACATCTAAATAAAACTAGTTTTTACGAATTTTATCGCGTATATTAACTTTTTTATATTCCCGACGTTTCGAGCACTACAGCACCCATGGTCACGGGGGGGGACTAAGATGTCCGTCGTCCCGATGTTATAGTTAACCACCAGATTAAAATCATTAATTTTTGTTTCTATCTACACAGTATGAACTTATAATATCTTGAAGTCTTGCAGTTGTATGCTTGGATTGGGATTTAATTTCATTAATTATAGGATCCCAAGCAGATGATAGTGCCCATATTTTATAAGATAGGACAAGCGATCGATTAAACCCCGCGGTAAAGAACATATAGCTGATGTGAAGAATCGACGCTCCGGGCAGTCTGCAGTCTGTGAACACGTACAGGATGCAAGCATACAACTGCAAGACTTCAAGATACTATAAGTTCATACTGTGTAGATCGGAACAAAAATTAATAAAGTTATTGTGTGTATAACCCCGGGTAACTATTACATCGGGACGCCGAAGACCTCAGCCCCCCCCCCCCCCCCCCGTGACCATAGTTGCTGTAAAGTGCTCGAAATCGAAACGTCGGGAATATAAAAAGTTAATATACGCGATAAAATCCGTTATAATAGTTTTTAACTCTTTTTATTTTAAAAATAAATATAACTATTTTATTTACTTTAAATTCTATTAAATTTCTTCCTTTTTTTTTTAATTTAGTTGCAATTTAATGGGAAAATGGAATTGAGTCTTAAAGTCCTTTTCATCAGAAAAGACACATTTTTTCGGAGAATTATTATACAGTTGTTTAAATCAAAACCCAAACCAAAGAATATACCTCTGACACACTCGGACAAGAGTTCTGATCATACTTTTTTTAAATCTTAAAACTTGCCGATCTAATTCTTCATGTGTACACATCGATTGCTAAACTTACACTTAGACGCTTTTTAGAGTAGCACATTCACTTTGCCGCTGTTTAAATATTGTTCCAAATATAATTCAAAGGTTCATCATACACTAAAAAGCAGTGAATGCTTTTTTGGGAAGTACGTGATTTTAATATATTTTTTAAAATTCTACGCTTGAAAACAGTTAGGTGTTTTTAGCCGTGTTTTAGTGTCTACTACAAGTGTTTACCGCTTTTTAGCATATTATTAGGTATAGCCTAGCATGGCTGCAACTAAGTAATAAAGCAGTTATTTACGCTTAACGGCCTTTTAGATTATAAAATGTGTTTAACTGCATTTTTTCTTAGTTTTACAACATCAAATATTAAATTTCAACTAAGAAAATAAATCGTTAAAATCTCTTAACGGCTATATAGCGTAACGGTGCATCGTAACTGATTTCTAGCATATGACAGCAAAGAAAATTTTGCACTTAACCGCCAAAATGCTTAATGTATCTCAGGAACTATCAATCGTAAAAATATAATTCCAATATTGGTCGATAGAGAATTTTTTGCTTAGTCTAGTGGTGCTGAAAGCTCAAAATCGACAAAATGCACTTAGCCGCCTTTTTTCCGTATCAGGGCAGTAAAGCTGAATCTGTCTACCAAATAATTAAAAAATCTAAATATTAAACACATAATGGGTCACGTAATTAGGCTTTTTTTAAACTAAGGGTAGTTGTTGCCCCTTAAGGTGAAACCTACGGACTGCTCCCAGCCATTCTCCCGCAAGATGGCGCTGAAGTCAACATTTGTAGTTTATTTGGGTTTTTGTGTAATTGGAAAATTATAGTAGACTTTGCGGTTTTGCATTATTGTGTATATTAATGACATTATTATCCTATATTAATGACATAATTTTATAGCCAAGTTCTTCTTTTCTAGTGCAGCTGCCTCTAGGCTTTTGATTTGTCCTGGCCAATGATGGAAAGCACTTGATTTCAACAACAGCTCTCTCATTTACAATTATACCTGTAACAAATTGCCATAAAATATAAAACACTGAGATGGAGATCTTCATGAAATTTCAATGGCCTACAATGCTGGTTATTCTTTGTTTCTCGCAATTATAACTAGTATTATGTTTGGCAACATTTGCCAAACACAAAGATAAAATTGAAGTTTGATAAAGAAAGACTTACCATCTGGACTGCCAGCTAGAAATTCAGATTCTTCATCAATAAAAAGGCCTGAAGGCCTGACAATTTTATTATATTGTTGCATGAACATACTTTTTGCTACATTTTCATATTGCTGCTCATATAACATGTCTTTTGTGCAAATATTCATTTTATACAGAATATCCTTTACATGATTGTGACATGGGGTGGTGATACGGCGTTTGCAAACCTGTAAAGAGAAAAAGTTCAGATAAACTAAATGTATGTTATGGTTTACTTTTAAAATTTAAATTTTATATAAAGATACTCCATAGTAAAATAACGCATTTTTACCAGAAATGTAAGTTTATAAGTATACATATCTACTAACATCATTATCACACCACACAACTCACAATTCCAAATTGACTAGCAGTCAAACGGTCACTCTTATGAGTAGTATATAAATCATTTTCATGCTGTCCTACAGTGGAAATTTCAATCAAAGCAATGTTTTCTGGTATTCTACTAGCCTTTCTTCACACCGCACTTTCAATTGTGCTTCGTCAATATCAATAGAATCACAAGCTTCAGCCCCATAGTGCTTATCCGGTTGGGTTTTCTCTCTTGCAGCAAATAATCGTTTGCGTGTCGAAGATTGCTGTCGTATTCTGCTTTGTTCCTTCTGCTTTATGTATTTTTTAAAATGTATCCCTGGGCTCTGTGTGTCATTTGTGTTCATTAGCAAGCGATAGGCCTGAAAACATTTTTAAATGTTATATTCCAAGAAAAAGACATATTGCATATAAATTGGTTTAAATAAGGGCAGGAGAATGATGATATTCCATAGCCATAATCAAAGAATTTCTTACTGGTTCTAATAATTTCTGACTGTTATTACTGTATATTTACCTGCCACATGAATACGTCTCTGATAAGAACCCCCTTTTCCAAAACTAATTCGTTTTCCACAGTTGAATTTGTTTATTACGCTCATAAAGTTTTCTACCACATTTGTTGTCTCATTAGACAAACGACCTGCCTTCAAAGCAATTTTTTAATTGGCTGCATAAATCAGAGCCCATATTCCTGCAAATGGTTTGTAAAAAATACCATAAAGCATTAACTACGCCTCCTTGTATAACAATAAAAATTCAATAAATTCTAAATGTAACAAAAAAAAACTGGAGTTAAAATATTTTTTTCACACACTTTATTTATTCCATCTACCAACACTTAACGTTCTGTGAAGTAAAGAATATCCACGACCTCTTCCCGTGGGACCAAAATGCAAGGCCATTTTTAGAGATTGCAGTACGGGATAGTCGGCTTGACTGGGGAGGAATGACGCTCTTACAAAATACCATTAAACTCCATAATATGTTACATATAAGATCACATATTTACAGTGGAACTTCTTTCATTAAACGTATTCTGGTTAAAATTTGATACTTGTTAAAAACTACTTTTTGTGATAATATCGAGTAAGTTATAAAATATTTTACAGCTTGATATCTTCTTAACCTCCGACGAAAAAGATGGGTATTATAAGTTTGACGGCTATGTGTGTGTGTGTGTGTGTGTGTGTGTGTGTGTGTGTGTGTGTAGTGTGTGTGTGTGTGTGTGTGTTTGTGTCTGTCTTACTGTGCGTGTGTGTGTGAAAAGTTCTAAAATAAGACTGCGATAGAAGATCCTTAGAAGACGTAATATGTCTATAACTCACAGAAACCATTTTTATATTAAAACTCTCGCGTAACAAAACAATAATAGTGACGGTCGGGTGTATGGTGGCAGCGATATCAGTGCGGGATGTATGGAGTCTGGTCTTTGTAGACTAGATTAAAAATAAGCCATTAGTGATCTTGGTTATCTTAAATCCAATCTTGTCAGCCTCCAGCACAGGCGCAGAGTAGTCAGCCCCTCAGTATTCTATAGGATACATTTCGGTGTGTGCGCAGGAATTATACGCTTTGATTCTTCCTTCTTTTTTTCACCATTGAACAACCTGGCAGTGGGCAAGTCTTCATCACTTTTTTGTCGATATTCCATGCATTAGAACCAAACGGTTTGCTTCTTATTTTGTAATGCGTTGATCAAAGTAGTGGAATAATTTTCCAGCGTCTATTTTTTCATCCGAATACAACTGTCAAATCAAGATTCAAAGCAAGAGTAAATAGGCTTTTGTTACGCTAAGACAGTGCAATTTAACTTCTAGGGCTATATCACCACTTACCACCAGCTGGGATTGTGGTCAAACACTGGCTTATAATAATTAAAAAAGAAAAAAGCAATCGCACAAATATAATGGTGTTTAATTAGGTAACGTATTTTTAGTACAGCTTTGTTTGATGATTTAAAATAATTATTAATGTCTGCTTAAAATTAAAATACATAGCAAACAATATCAAAACGATGATATGGCATTTGATCGATAACGTTTGACATAAAATCAGATAAGAAATCATTTGTGACGCATATGTGAAAGTGACACCTGAGAGCACATTTCAATTTATGATTCACCATCTTTTTTAACGAAATCGTTGAGAAGCAATATCGAATGTGGACTAAATTATATGATTAATAAATAATTTTGAACCAATAATGTATATGTTTATAGTGGTTACGTGTATTTATTCCGAATTCCATTCATATTAAATTTTTTGAGGTAGTGTATATGGTTCGTTTTAAAACATGTTATATCATACTCAATCGTAAATACTCCACGCGCCACTCACTGGAAAGGGCAGAACATAATCTACCGGAGTAGTATAAATTAAAGACTTAAATGAGGCCTATACGCTACACGCCGCAGCGTTTTATGAATAAATCACGAATGGAGTGGCATAACCACGACTCACGAAACACGGCCACCGAAAACTAGTTAACTATGACATTGGGACGTTAAACGCCTCCGTGACCATAGGTTCTGCAAAGTACCCGAAAACTGCAAAGTACTTGAGTATATAAAAATAAGTTGATTAAGTTCGATAAAATCCGTAAAAAAAAAGGTTAAATTAATGTACGTATATAGAGTTTGCAGAAATATAAGAAATAATTTAATAAAATACTATATTGTAATGTTAATAACGTCTTAAGCTGCAACTATCGTTAAAAATAAAGTTAAAATAAAATTATTTTAAAAGAATATTGACCTATTTTTATATAAATTATTTGTAAATGGAACGGAAAAATTAGGTCGAGGCGCTTTCATCATACAACGTCCAAAATTAGAGACCGTATATATTTCGGTAAAGCTGTTAGTTGTTAATAGAATTTTCCTCCTATTTATGGAATATTCATTTCTTAGTTCGTAATCTGAAACAAAAAGAAGAATAAATTTTATACATAGTACTTTTAAAATTTAAGTTGATAAGAATTACTTTGCCCACGTTTGCTCAATTTATTTTAACAATTATTTTTGTGTTTATTGAAACGGCACCTCAGCCGTTTCAATAAACACAAAAGTAACGAATATTATGAATTTACATGATAATTCTACATTGACGTAAAAGTTGCAATTATGAATACTGAGACGTTTTGAGCTGCGATTCTGAAGCTTTTATAGATTTATTTTCTTCTTCTTAATATCATTAAATCTGTAAGTCTGTGTAAGCTGTGATAGTGGCGTAAGATACCTATAAGACATAATTTCACACTATGGATGTCGTACAATAAGTGACGACAGTGAGAAATACCACAAATATCTAACGGATACCCACAAAATCTGTTTACGCCAGGCGTACAAAATAACATAGCGGCAACGGGTAGCATCGTGAGTCAATAGTGTGAGACGTCTAGCACTGCGATTGTCAAACCCAGTGTGACCATTCAGGCAATTTCTCCCCCCTCCCCCCTCAACAGGAGCGGTCCATATCCAGTAACGATATTTTATGGGAAAAAGAAAAACCGTCCTTGATAATGCCACTGCTGGAAGCATCTAATATGGTATGATTTTCTGCCTGGGAGTCCATTTGGGTAAGTTCCTACCGTTTACCTATTTCTGCCATCAATACTTGCATTGCTGTACTCCAGTCTGAAAATTATAGGGAGCCAGCATAATAAAAGGCTGGGAGACATTACAATTTATTCGTGAGTAAAATGATATTGATGTAAAGCATAATGAATGACTAATATAATAAAATATTTTATGACAATAAAAGTAGGATTCACAAAAAGAATATTATTTACTAGCTGTGCCCGCGACTTCGTTCGCGTAAAATTTCTACTTTATTTTTGAAGTTTCATCTTTGGGGACTATTTATTATATTTTATAAACTAAATCACTGTTTCAACTCAAACAATAATCGTATTGATAATTTTAGTATACGAAGTAATTTCACCATTAAACCGATTAAGTGCGTGGAAGATTTCAAGACGGAGAATGTCATGTCCGTTCAATATTATATATAAATGAAACTAAGTAACGTAGATATGCACTAACATAATATAAAAAAGAAACTAAAAATGGGTTACTAATTATTCTAATTTATAAAAAATAAGGAGGGAACAACAGTTCGTTAGCTGTGTAGTAGCGACGTAAATGAATCACTCTACGTGCACCATCAGACCTCCTGGAGGTGCATTATGAGGCGGCTATGGAAAACACTAGAAAAATATAACGGCTTTCGATATATGGCGCTATAAACAAATCAGCTACATTAAAGCCAGACATAAAATACCCAGACTGTTTATTCGTACCCAGACTGGCTAGTTGTACCCACACTAGCCAGCAACGTCAAAGATGCGAGACGTATTGTATTGCGATCGTCAATTTGTCTGCAAACCGTGAAAATTATAACAAATCACTCCTTAAACGGAAGAGGTCTATGTCTTGCAGTAGACTTTTACGGGCTCATCATGAGGGGTAGAAGAAGAATTGATAATTTTTACGTCATAAAGTAATGCGATAAAACTCTGAGCCCCTCCAAACTTTAGAGCAACGCGACCGTCTCTGACACACTTCATACTTCAGATCCACTCTTGCAAGTCGCTTTTTTAATTTTCGTTACAAAGTTGTAGGTAATAAATTTTAAGCATATTAAGCATAAACACCTCCATCTACATCATAACCGATATTAATATCTGTGTCCAGCACATTCTTTTAAGCAAAAACTTATTTGATCAGTTTACCATTGTAACGATTTTAAGCTAAACGAAGAAGCAGCGAAACAAACTAAATTTCCATTACAGCCTATTGTACCCTCTGCTGAACATAGGCCTCCTACATATATTTCCTCACAGTGGGTAGTTTCCCATAAAATTAACTGGACGATTTATAAAAAAGTTATGCATACGTAGTGCGCAAATTGATTATTAAAAATGTGATGAATTCTGCCCATTCCAAAAAACAAACCCTCTCAGAGATATGAAGATGAACATAGGTCTCTCCTATAGACAGCATCATAGGGCATTATTTTCCACTGATGTCACGCTTGGCAAGCGAGTTCGCAGCCGCAGTTTTTGATTTTAGCCGTTATTAGGAAGACGCTACTGCCCTTCTCCTAGTTGGTTTACCTCTGTCACCTTAGATACTATGGTTAATTATATTTTTATGTATTTATTACATTATTATTTCTTAATTTTGCTTACTACGTTTCAGATATAACTATATCGTTATGTAAAATTATTTTACATCATTTAATTATGATTTATGATATGAGATTAAAATGCACTTGATGACTCAACAAATACGAACAAATTCGTAGAATATTTATCATAACATTTTGCAGAATGAACCGATTTTAATAAAACATAGACTAACACTTTAACAAAAAGATAAGCTTTATAATTTCCTAATCGATCATTTTGATATAAATTAGTACTTTATAGGTGATATGTTAACAAATGAACAGACAGACAGATGATTCTAAAAATGGTAGAGATGTATATTGTATATATTTACTTATTTTTAGTCCGACCCA